ACGTCGGCCAGTAGGAGTCGGGCTTGTTTTTATATTCCTTAGAAATGAGATCCATAATTTGCTTGGCCGATAGCGGGATCGTTAAACCAGCGACCATGTCCATGTTGAACGGGTGAGCACCATATTCCGCCATCTGCGCTCTTGTATTTGAGTCGGTATAAAACTCCAACACCATGAATCTGAAATATGAAATGAGTTGTAATAATAATAATAATAATAATAATAATAATAATAATAATAATAATAATAATAATAATAATAGAAGGTAGGGGGGGGGTGGGGGGGTTCAAATGAAAACCTCAAAAGTGTGAAAGAAATTAACAGTAACCATAGGACTGTCTTGTAACCTAACAGTATTGTTGGTAAGGATGTCAAGAGTGTTAAGCACGTAACATCACGGTGCAGACGTACATTTGTCGACGTCATAGTGGCAGTGTAAAGATGACCGTCCTAGTTTTAACATGCAGCAAAGAGGAGCAAAGTTATGTATTCAAAGAACCACCCGGGAGCTTTGAAGCAATGCTCGCCTCTCTTTGTTAAGACTAAAAGTGGCTGGTTAGAAGCTGGCGATATGTTTCTTTGAGCACTGCGTGCAATTTTTTGACGGAGAAATACCTGAAGCACTACCGTCATACGAGGGCTGAATCTGTGATTGCAGAGGGTCGTCATCTGACATTATCGCAAGACTTAGTCGAGGCGTGATCTTTTGGCATGTGTAAGCGTTACCAGTAAACTGGGTACATAAATCATGTTTTTTATTGGCCAGAATAGGGAGCGTGCCATTTTTTTTTTAATTTATGTAAGCGGTGATAATTCGGTATGAATGTTTAAATTTGTTTATATCATGGAAAGATATAAGACCGAACGAAAAGTAGATCAGCGAGCTTCACAATATAACAAACACAAACGAAACGTAAGCGTTACGGTTATAGAGCCTTCATCAGCACATAAGACCACACGAATACACAAAACCACTTAACTAACGCAACCCGAGGCAGGCACGTTGATGTCTTGCCAAGGAAATGACCCTAAAAAAATATTTAAAAACACAGAACTTTTTAGGGTGGCGTCCAGGACATCTAAACTACCTGGCATACCCTAGGTCCGCTACTGCATGATCTTGATTGTGCTTAAACTTTAACTTTAAACTGCACAACTTTAAACTGCACAACCTACCTTTCCTCTCCGTCAATCTTTTCCATTTCATCGAGCAGATTTTGCCAACTCTGGATTTGTTCTTTGGTTTCCGGGAGAAGGTAACTCGTATACAAGGGAGTTAAGTACCCGTAGTTATCCTGACAAAGGCGAGACAAAAACCATTACCGTTGTTGTTTCTCTTATTTCCACCACTGCTACGATTATTACTTATAATAATCATGTTTTATTATTACTAATAATATTACAACTATTTTCCTTTACTTATTTTGCTTCGTTGCACATCACTTCTCTCTGTTCCTATATTTTATAGTTTTTTACGCGACAAACTCTTCTGCCTGTGGTGATGGTGATATGGCCAGAATACACTGTCCTTTGTTGCTATTGCGGTTTTTGTAGAGTAATTTTGCTTGTGTATGTACGTTGTCCTTTTCCATCTCTTTACCCCCCCCCCTCCCCCCCCCCGCCCCACAATCATTAAAAAAATAGACTACTTAGTCACAGCTGAGTGGAATAATTAGAAAGAAATTACCCATTTTATAAATGTTAGTCTTTCGTCGGATATCTCCCAGTAAAAACGGTAACAATTATGGCGGCCTCAGTCACATGTAGAAGCGAACTTACGGCGACCTCAATTGCGCACTTCCGGCGACTGCTGCTACGTGTGGCGTAGAATGGGGCTAAACTAGATGGCTGGGACTCACGAGCAAAGCTGCAGGAGATGCGGAAGCTGCTGCTCGTGAGTCCCAGCTATCTAGTTTAGCCCTGAGATACTCTCGGTGGTGGAAGTAGTCGCCGGAAGTACGTAATTGAAGTCGCCGGAATTTACATGTAAATGAGGCCCTGTTAGGGTGTTTTTGTGGCCGCCAAAATATGTGGCCGTTATTCGGAGGATAGCCCTTTCGTCTTTAACCTAGGGCGGCGTATAGGGCAGAGGTCATAGCTCTCCATGTCTGGCGGTTCTTTGCCACCAGTTTAAGGTCTTGGATGTTTGTTAGCCCCAGGGTTGAGCCTTCCCTGATGATGGTTCTACGTAGAGTCTCTCTTGATCTTCCCCATTTTCTTTTGCCTTCCGGTGTCCACAAGAGGACTTGATGAGGGAGTCTGGTCTTATCCAGAGTACATGGCCGATGTAGTACCAACGGCACTTTTTTTTTATAAAATTAGATACATTTTCTTGCTTGGTCTCTTGTCTTATTTGCTTTTTGGATCTGAAATCTGTTCAGTGGAGATTTAATATTTTTCTAAACCGTTGCTTTCCAACTCTCACATCCATAAGTTAGCACTGGAATCACGCAAGAGTTGAAGATCTGCAGTTTTGTTGTTTTTGCTGATTGTCTTTGACTTCCACATGTTTGACAGTTTGTTGAAGGCACTAGATGCCAGTGCGATTCTATATGATATTTCTGGCTCTGAATGTCATTTTATTGTCTAGTTATGTAAAGATTGAATAGCACCTTTCCGTCTTTCCGGACGATAGTGTTGAATTAAGCTGTGAGGAAGCATAGGACTCACAGCCCATGGCGATGGCGAGTGTGACTAGCAATACCCGCCCGTGTCAAGAAAAGTCTTCCACGATGATATTAGGACCATTGCTGTTAACATGTGTGTTTAATTATGTAAAGATACCGACCTCCTTTACTTCTCAGGACTTCACCTGGTATCCATTCAAGGCTGGGTGTGTTAACTATAAAGTATGTCTAGGCTTGGCCGTGGTATAGCGACTGGACGTTCGCCTGTGGATCAGGCGATCGCGGTTCGGTTGCTGACCTGGGCCGGACTTATTTCAGAAATGAACTTGGCTTCCTTGAACGGATACCAGGTAAAGTCCTGGAAAGTAAATGTGGCCGGTAAAAAGTTGACATATCACACATCTACGGCCGACTATCTTATAATTCAACCAGCATCCACTGAAAAGACTGAAGCTTGTGGTTATAATTGTGACCAGGTTTACGTGCACCTTGTAGAGTGGCTTAACACTCCCTGTCACCAAGCAGCCCTGAACAGGACTCTTGTAGTTTTGATGCGATTAGAGGAGACAGACCTAAATATTGTACCGACCGACGACGAAGTCGTCTAATGGCCAGCCAATGGGCGACCCTGTCGCTGATGTTGTACAAGTATATATACACAATAACTCTAAGGGCGTAAAAAGGTGTCCTTTTCTTTACTTTAAAACTGTACTATATATGCATGTAGAAATATACGTAAGAGGAATAGTAAGTGTCTTCCCAACAGAGACTCAAGAAAGAAAAATTAAAAACAGAAAAATTGTTTTCCTTTGTGACTGCATGTCAGTCCTCCAGGCGACTCATAGGGATCCACGAGACAACATGGAAAGCGAACTGACCCGTCAGCTAAACAGACTCACAGAAAACAATCAAATCGTTCTCCAGTGGATCCCGGCTCACTGCGGCATACCAGGAAATTAGTTAGCAGACAGGCTTACAAAAAACTGAACAAAGGAGAAACAACACGCCCATTCATTGTCATTACCAGAAATCAGAACACTCAAAGGAAAATACAAGGAATTGTGGAGAGAACAAACTAACAGTAAACATCCACAAGACCTCATCAGCAGACTCTACAGAAAGCAACGTACAACAATGTTCCGTCTATGAACAGGACACTGCAGGCTCAACTACCACATGCATAAAATAAAGATTGTACAGTTCCCACAGTGTGCCTGTCAAACAGGACCACAAACACCTGAGCACATTCTGCAGACCTGCCCACTCTACCTACAACTTCGAAAAGACACCTGGCCTCAAGAGTAGAGTGTGCAGAGCAAGCTATGGGGAACCATGCAGGACCTGCAGCTGACATGCAAGTTCATAGAGGCAACCCACCTGATGGTCTGATCTCAGCATACGAAACCGATCGCAAAGAAGAAAGAAGAAGAAGGAGATTCAAGATAGGCCGTTTAGGCACGACCGGCTGCACCTGACGGGCCATACTGCTGACACCGGGTAGGGCTCTCTTCTCTTCTGCCTTTCTATCCCCCAATGGAGCATAGGCCCCGGGTAGGGCTAGCGATGCTTTAACGCAGTGGCTCCATGTGGCTCCAATGACTAAAATACAAATAAAGGGAGATAACTGCAGCATAATTCAGTTTGACATAAATTTCACTTGTTCTTTCCCTAGTCTTGAAGCCTAAATAGGGTTCGTAATTCCTAAGAAGCCGGATGTTTCGGCTAAAAGGCTCAAATATCGCAACGGACACAACTAAATTACGCCCTCGAATGAAGGGGGGAGGGGGGAGAGATAAAGTCCTTCCATTTTATGAAAGCAAGTATGTATAGATAGCAGTGTAGATGTTTGTTTATGTTTATTAAATGGATCAACTACACTGAGTTTTAATTGAAAACTTCCCGTCCTTTTTAAGATCAAATTTTTCGTTATTTGAAGCCCTATGGCTCTTGCCAGGGGCCGCAATATAGCCTGGCCATAAATATGACCTAAAGGCTGAACACGGTTTCTGGGACCTCTCCACGGTGACCCTCATCCACATGGTGACACTTTGTGCATCGGGTGTTTATCGCTTGTGTGATGTCCTGGTGGGGTAGAAAGTCTGTCAGTCAGTCAACGGATTAACATCATGGCACAAGGGTAGTAACCCATAAGTGCTCTGTTCTACTTCTAACTCAAGTCTGAGTCTGAAAGACTAAGCGCAGTGCACGAACTCCGTGGCACCGGTGAGGATCCTGAAATACTTTGGGTGGATTTTTAACTCCTAATATTGCCCAGGCAGCGCTGTTAGATTACTCCTTTCGATTTCCAGCTACCAATGGATTTTTTTACGTGCTAAACAATACACACGGGCGTCGAATGTTACTACCCAGATGCCAGGGGAAATTACTAAAAGTCCAGGGAAAAATATCCCAGCCTTCACCGGAGTTTGAACCTGGGACCTCCAGCACACGAGGCGGATGCCATGCCCCGAGACCACTCAATTCCCAAGTGTAAATAAAGATGCAGGAAATGCAACAGTAAGTAGCGAGTGATGTTCAGTTCGTATGAGTAAGCGGTTTAGATCAAATAAAACCGTTAGCAGGTAACCATTTCACTAAAGAGGGTATCAGTTAATATTTTCCTTCTCGTAGCTTTGCTTTTGAGAATATGCATTCGCAGCTAGCTTTGTACTACTAGCAACTGGTAGCTCTCACATGTTACAGTTTAGTAACCATTTTTTGTTTCTGCGACTTTAATACTGTTAACATACTGTACGTTTTCGTTGAGACTTTTAGTGCTTGTTTGATAAATTTATGTTTCTTTATTCTCCTGAAGATGTAGCCAATATATTGCAATTTTCTTTGTCTTATAACTCTTGCCCTGGTTTTGACAGTGATATCGAGAAGCTGACGGTCCAGGAAAGAAATAGCAAACTACTGGACGGAAACTTGCCTGGAAAACCCACAACAGCCAAAAAAATTCTGGCGTTGGTTCTGCAACGTCCTGTTAAGGATACAAAATTAACTTTAACTCTCAACTATATATTAAACATTGAACATTAAAACCAAAATTAAACTACACACTATCTAAACTTACAGGAAGGACATCGTTTCCAGACAAAGGGTTGTCCAGCGAGAGATTGGTCGTCTCGTAAACATGGTTGATGGCGTCCATTCTTAACCCATCAATGCCGTAGTCCAGCCAGTAGCGCATTGCAAGCTGTAGAAGGATTTTTAGGGAGAAAAAGAGTGGTTAATGGTGAGTACACAGCTTCTTCAGCTTTTTTCTTTTCCTTCTTCTCCATTTCTTTCTTGATACAGGCATGAAAACAGACATGCTTCGTGCAGAGTGGCAAGCATCATTGCAGATGTTCCGGGTAGTTAGCGTCCTTTGGATATTCTCTCTAGGATATGCCGGTGTGCTGGGAAATGAGCAGGCAGATAGACTGGCTGGCTCTGCACCACTGGGGTGTGAATTGATGCATGACAAAGCAGATGTGGTCAATGCTCTTTTTTAAACGAGCAACGGAGTCAGTAGAGATAGAACTTCTGAGAGCCTGGTATGAATGAGGTACCTGGGTGTAACCAGAGGGTCTGGCTGGCTCACTACACTCAGAGGAAAGGCAAGACGGACATAAAACCAGATTGTGACCGGTACCATCAGTATTAGAACTATGCACTGCCTGCTGAAGATGAGGACGAAGCATGCATGGGAATGCCCTGGGTGCTGTGATGTCAAAGCTTGACTCAACTCAACCCAACTCAGCGTAGTGTTGTTATTGTTTCAAAATACTTAGAGCACTTTGAAACTGAGAGGTTGATAATGGTTATTATTATTATATAATCGAAAAAATGATGTGTGTATGAAATAAGGTAAGCACTGAGTGTGCCAAATTCTTAACCCATTGAAAAAAAATTAATTTGTTTGTTAGTTCTATAGATGAGAGATGAAGGAGAAACAGTTTTTATTAAATACTAACTTCCTGGACTGGATGTTTTAAACTTCATAAATTCACATTTAACATTTCATGAATTCACAGGTTTTTTTCCCCCACTTAACCCACACACACACAAAAAAAAAAAATATTCCGGCAAAAGTTTCAACATGTATTGAAGTGCATTCTTGTGTCCGTTACGTAAAAGTTGAATAATCAAACAGGATCCATTTAACAACAACATTACAAATCAAACATAGTCAAATTTCAGCGGTGGCAGAACCTGGCAGGTGGAGCGGGAGGGGAGGGTGGGGGGGGGGGGGGGTTCGGTAGGCCCCATGTCCCCCCTTCTCCCCTCCCTAATAAAAACGATAGACATATCTGTTTACTTGCAAGGAGCTAACCCCCCCCCCCACCCCTCCCACCCACCCCATTCACCCCAATCCCATTCACATATTGAAATTATTATTATTTTTTTAAATAGTATTTGTGAACCTTGTGTGGGTTCCGGGGCCCATTATGGGGGACAAGAACAGACCCACTGCCTTCCCAACAAGCATGTCGTAGGTGTTGAATAACTGTGGTGCGGGGGGTCCTTTGATGTCGGAGTGCATCTTCCTCAGCGGCAAGCAACAACAAACCCCACACAAATAAGCCAGTAAAACTCAGGACCTGGACAAAGCCAAAGTCCAAATGGACGAACAACCAGGACTTTCTGCCCGAGCTTACAGCCGGAGAGCAGAGAAGAAGAGCATTTGTGTAAACATTTTCTATTTTCGGAAATACATTTAAATTTTTTTGCTTTTCAGAACATCATAGTCATAATTTATTATTATTATTTTAAATTATTAGTATTATTGTTATTAAGCATCATGAGAGCTTATAAGACTTAAATGGTTTTGACATACTGAAAGATTGTCAGATGACAGAGAAGTAAAAACTGTATACGAAAGGGAGATGAATGGTCGTAGACCACGAGGCAGACCAAGAAGACGATGGAGAGATAATGTCCTGACAGACCTGCAAACACTTGGTATCACCAACTGGAAAGAAAAGGCCAACCAGAGAGATGAATGGAGGCGGGTGATTTCTGCAGCAATGAACCTCAAGGACTTGGAATGCTGAAGAAGAAGGCCAACCAGAGAGATGAATGGAGGCGGGTGATTTCTGCAGCAATGAACCTCAAGGACTTGGAATGCTGAAGAAGAAGGCCAATCAGAGAGATGAATGGAGGCATGTGATATCTGCAGCAATGAACATCAAGGGCTCGGAATGCTGGGGGAAAAAAAGACAACCAGGGAGATGAATGGAGGCGGGTGATATCTGCAGCATTGAACCTCATGTGCTCGGAACGCTGAAGAAGAAGAATTATTATTATTAACCCTTTAAACGGGTCGTATGTCTCTTGATTGGCCACCACCAGAAGATTTAAGGGAGCAACATCCTCAATGTATCCGGCGTTTTAACACACTCGCCACTGATACGCTACTATATGGTGACACACATAAACACATTTCCCCATCAAAACTTCTGAAGTGTTTCTGAATACACATTTGCATTGTGTTTTCGCAATATAGTTGCTGTTTTGAACTCACTCATGAAAACTGAATGCTGAAACTCTACCTGCTCTTAAGTAATGAAACTGTATCCGGCTGCTCGTACATGTTGTCCCTTTTTATCCTCTTATGTAACAATATGGTAAATGTCTGTCTAAATATGTTGATACCTGCTTTAACTCTTTATGTTTACTTTTCTGGAGCTAAAAACGGGACATTCCATTATTTTGAACTCAAAACGAAACAAACCAACTGTGTAAAACGAGGTAAGTGACGTCATCAAAAAATGTGCTTCACAGTCAAACATAAAACTATATGCAGCGAATGGCTGTCGTCTGCTGAAGGAGTTCTTTGATTTATCGCACGATTTCCGGATAAATAATCGCTTAATCGCATTGTGGTTATAATGTTTATTTTTTAGGTACATCCAGCTACGCCAAACTATCATTAGACTTTAACAGTAACTGTTGTTCGTCCATCACGAGTGATGAAGACCACATTTCATCGAAAGTAGTAATCATCAATGATACGAAGGTGGCTGGTTAAACTTAGTCCAATATGAGCCTGGAAAGTTCTTGAGCATTGCGGACAACAGATGGAAGCCGCAGTAAGTGTGGGATTAGCAATTTTGTTTTTTTCTAGTTGGCCTCCGTTTCTCTGCCTGTGCAACCTCTGCTGCCTGGCAGGCTGATGTACCATGTCTGAGGGACGTACGCCGTCCAGAACCGTCTTGTACAGCAGCCTCCCACCTCGCTGTGTTGATGCCAGAAGAATTGAGAGCAGTCTTGAGTGTGTCCTTATAGCGCCCTTTCTGTCCTCCAGTAACTATTTTCTCTAATTCAATGATTTGTTAGCACATTTTTTTTTTTTGACGTTATGTACTTGGGTTTTTCCAATTTGTTCTGCATACAACAAATTTAGTCAGACTTTACGAACACCTTCTACCTCAGTTCACGAGACAAAATTCAGAATTTCTTTCTTTCTTGGTTCAACGTATTTTAAGACTAACACTAAACACGTCGCGAGTTACTGCCATAACCTTCGTCTGTGTTCCAGGTCATGCGGGTGTTCGAGAAAATTAGAGTACAGATTAACTTGCAGACACTGCAGTTGCTGTGACGCGTCCAGTACTGGACAGACGCGATGTTATCAATGCCATGCGCAGCACTTACCACGACGACGAACACGGCAAAGGGCAGACTCCGTATCTTTATCCATACTGGTGGACATGGGGATGAAACCTGGAGCTGCAAGTAACGAACATTTCACTAACAGAGAACAAGACGTTTGGTTAATCAACACAAAACCAGCGTAATTCGTGGCTTTACACTTGAGGAGCGTTTGAAGAGGAGATCGGAGCACCAGTAGATCTGTCCGGAGTGCTTTGATGATAGTCTTCAATAATCAGCTATTTAGAGACTGTATATTAACACATTGTGACAAAATAACAATATAGCTTATTCAAACATACCAACATCTCTTCCTTGACATCCGGGTTTCGGTAATTCAGGTCAGGCTGGGCTGGATCGAACTGGTGCAGATAGAACTGCTCTCTTTCATCGCTCCATCTCCAGGCAGATCCACCAAAGACACTCAACTGCGGAGAAGATCAGTTGGTAAAAACACAACACATATGTTTGACACGACTAGTGTAGGTAGAACAAAAAATGCATTCATTCATGTATGACTCTTATAAGAACCATTAATTATAGTCTGCTCCAAAAGTCGTGAACCTTCTTTAAAAATCTGTAACCCGGTTACCGGTGTATGTTGTTAAAATTGGCATGCCTCATACTAAACCCACATAAAGCATTCTTCGTTATTCACCCTGAAAAGGGTGCATGGTACATTGTGTTGTGGTTTAAAGCTAGGCTGCAATATCTGCGTCTTTCAGCCCAACCCATGTCAGCAAATTTCTAATTAGGAACCTTTCGTGACATGCTTGTTGAGTTGGTGGGGAGGGAGGGGGGCAGTGGTTCTATTCTTTCTCGCCCCCTCTGAAAATGGGGCCTTCGAGACCAATCTTGACGCTGATGATGGTGGTGGTGGTGGCAGTTGTGGTGGTGGTGGTAATGAGGTAGTGATGGCGGAGCTGGCGATAATGATGATTTTGTGATGATAAAGACGACGACGACAACAATGACAATGGATGTAACATTTACCCAGTTGTTTGGCGGGACTCTAGTTCCATTTGCCAAAGTATTCCCGTCTGTCCACACGTAGTAATCTCTGTACTTGCCTTCCTTCTGCACGCTCCGCTGAAACCATACGTGTTGATCACTAGTATGGTTGGGCACAAAGTCCACTAGGATACGGAGTCCTGGGAGACACAGAAACTGAACTGGTTATAAAGTAGGTAGGTAGGTGTTTTGCTGGGGAAAAAACTCGTCACGTTCAATCAGGATAACCCAAAGGGGAAGATTTAGGTTATAATTGTGATTAGGTTATGTGCGCCATATAAAATTTGCTTAGCATTGCACGCCCCTCCCGTGTACCGACCTGCGATGAAGTCGTCTACCGTCGAGCCAGTGTGCAATCCGTTTGTTGATGTGGTTAGAAGGTGTTGTTTATATATATATAAAGATAGAGAGAGAGAGAGAGAGAGAGAGAGAGAGAGAGAGAGAGGCGTAGAGAGAGAGATGCGTAGAGAGAGAGAGAGAGAGAGAATGAATGAACGAATGAATGAATCAAAATGTTGCATGACTCTACAGCAGCCAAACAAGAGTCGACATGCTAACAGTACTAGTTGCCATCTGATTAAAAGTCCGCCTTTGTTTCCCCCCTCAGTGTCGAATATCTTCCATCACCTCTACACACTCCTCGTTTAAATTATTCTTTCACTGTATGGATTCTACGTTTTCTATTTGATCCCAGAGAGTCTTCACTACATCTGCTGTATCATTAAGTAAGTTACCGCCTGGAGGAGCGGCAGCAGCTAGTCTATCGTCCGCTCGCTACCTCACACACCTGAATTTTCCGCACACTAAGTCCAAGATGCGATCCGCACCTTAATCTTATAAAGTGGTGCAGACCATTCTAAACTTTAGAGAGAAACTGGTTAGAAAGTGTCGTGTCTTTTACACAGACACAGGTTATCTGGTGTCATATATGTTATATATAGAGAAGCATATTGCCGTTTATTTTTTGTTTTACACACACACACACTCAGATAGACAGACAGACAGACAGACAGACAGACAAACAGACAGACAGACAGACAGACAGACAGACAGACAGACAGACAGACAGACAGACAGACAGACAGACAGACAGACAGACAGACAGACAGACAGACAGACAGACAGACAGACAGACAGACAGACAGACAGACAGACAGACAGACAGACAGACAGACAGACAGACAGACAGACAGACAGACAGACAGACAGACAGACAGACAGATAGATAGATAGATAGATAGATAGATAGATAGATAGATAGATAGATAGATAGATAGATAGATAGATAGATAGATAGATAGATAGATAGATAGATAGATAGATAGATAGATAGATAGATAGATAGATAGATAGATAGATAGATAGATAGATAGATAGATAGATAGATAGATAGATAGATAGATAGATAGATAGATAGATAGATAGATAGATAGATAGATAGATAGATAGATAGATAGATAGATAGATAGATAGATATATTAGATAGATTAGATCGATCGATAGATAGATAGATAGATAGATAGATAGATAGATAGATAGATAGATAGATAGATAGATAGATAGATAGATAGATAGATAGATAGATAGATAGATAGATAGATAGATAGATAGATAGATAGATAGATAGATAGATAGATAGATAGATAGATAGATAGATAGATAGATAGATAGATAGATAGATAGATAGATAGATAGATAGATAGATAGATAGATAGATAGATAGATAGATAGATAGATAGATAGATAGATAGATAGATAGATAGATAGATAGATAGATAGATAGATAGATAGATAGATAGATAGATAGATAGATATATTAGATGGAGAGAGAGACTTGTTTGCCTGTGTCATTAATGTTATATCGATAGAGAAACCACAGTCGAATTATCGTTTATATTTTTATAAGCCTTCACGTGACCCCGTGTCGACACACTGATGATTAGAGTACCTTCCCCTTTGTCATTGTTGTGTAGTACATATCGAGGAAGGCCCCGGCCGAAACTTCTATTCGTCAAATTATGTTTTCCCACTTCCCATTTCGTCAAGTTTTCCTTTCGCAGTTCATTGGATTCATTTATGTTATAAAAGTTGACAACCTGTACACATATATATGTATATATATTAACATCACTTATGTCAGGGCTATTCCAATGGCTGTCCACGGGCCTGATTTGGCCCGCGGAGGCCCAGAAAATGGCCCGCCGATCATTGCTAGTTGTAGTGTATTAATAATCTTCCTAGGCTGGGGCTAGGACTTATGGCCCGAAAAGATCCCCAGTTTCCGAATTTGTGACCCTAAGTAAACTAACTTGAACAGCCCTGTTGATGTCGTGGACGTAAGAGAGCTAGATAGCAAGTGTTGTTTATGTTATATTAATAAAGAAACAGATTACAAGATGTCCTTTTTTTAAATAAGGAACCTTGTTAGTTTGTGTCATTTATGTGTCGTACGTAAAGGTTAGTTGCGTATCCTTTACAGGACGTTGCAGGACCAACCCGAGTCGCCCCTGGCTGGTGTGGTTTCTCTAGGCAAATTTCAAGACCAGTAGTTTGCCATTGCTTTCTGGACGTTCGGCCCCCTGATACCACTGTCGAAACCAACGCAAGGCGCATGGCCCGCAGCTGGGATCGAACCCGGCACCCCGGCATTACGAAACGTTCACATCGACTTAGCCACAGAGCTGACGACCGCGTGTCATACATATGAATATAAAAATTAAGAGGAGCTTTCATCGAACTGGGGAATTTGTGTCGGTCAAAAGGAATTAAAACTAATACTGAACTAAAAATCTTTTAATTCTTGTGTCCAATCCGTACTGTTGTATGAAGTGGAAACATGAAGAACAACTAAGGCAATTACTAATAAACTACAAACATTCATTAACTGGTACTTGCGCAGAATAGTGTGAATTAAATGGTATGATAGAATCACTAATGTAGAGCTTTTGGAGATAACTAAGCAGCTTCTAGTCTACCAAGAGGCGAAGAAAAGACGCTGGCGTTGGATAGGACACATGTTAAGAAAGCCTGAGAACAATAGAACTAGAATGTCTTTTGCACTAGAACTCACAGGGGCATAGAAAAAAAGGAAGACCAAAAACAAAATCAGACGGGAGCGAGAGAGTGAAGTTAAAAAGATAGGAAAGACATGGGGAGAGCTGCACGCGATAGCTAAGGATAGACAACTTGGCGTGAGTTGGCTGACGGCCTATGCTCAACTGGGAGCTAGAAAGGCAGAAAGATATAGAGGCAACTGATTAGAAGATGCAGTTTCATGTATACTGTCTACGTCGCCTAGCAGGATGTTGATGAAGATGGTAATGATGACGATGGTGAAGATAATTATGAAGATGATGATGACGACGATGATGATGATGATGATGATAATGATATGCTGATACCAGCTTACTCGATAAATAACGTACTAACACAGTCTGTGTATATTTACCAAGCTTTTTAGCTTCTTCGACAAGCTGTCTGAAATCCGCGATGTTCCCAAAGATTGGGTCCACGTCTTTCAGATCCGAGATATCGTAGCCAAAGTCAACCTGAGGCGAGCTGTAGAAGGGACTTAACCAGATGGTTTCTACCCCGATGTACTTGAAGTGTTGCAGCTCGGAGATTATCCCTGTAGATGTTGATGGGATGATAATGACAAAACAGATGTTGAAAGGATCCTTGTGACTAGGTTATGTTTTCCGCAAAAACTGAGGTAATGAGGATTGGCAGGAAATATGATATCATGAACGTTCATGTTAACGGTACTGCAATCCAACAAGTACGCGAATTCAAATATCTAGGAAGCATATTTACGGAGGATGGCAGACTCGATAGAGAGATAGAAGCCAGAGTAGAGGAGGCACATGCTGTCACTTATAAGTTAGCTCCACTGCTTGGACACCCAAATGTCTCCCTTCCAGCCAAACAGCAAATGATTAATAGCATCTTTATCTCTGCTTTATGTTATCAGTGCCAAACATGGACAATGAACAGAAAATACTCTCTGACTTTTACGATATGTTTATTATGGAGTAAGGGTCTCATTGAGTTTTCCCCAACAATGGAACCCTGAAGCCCACTTGGAGGGGGATGTACACAGCATACACTGCAGGTCAAAGCCATCATCATCATCAAGCAGAGTCTTTACAGATTGTTGCTGTCGTCACGGCCTGCCTCTAACCGATTTCCCAGCCCTATGTGCTCTCAAAGCCAATACATCTTCACAATCTTGTATCCATGTTCTCACAGGTCTCTCTCTGCCTCGTTTCCCGGAAACTGTGCCCTCCTTCACCCGTCTCTGCAGGCCACCGTGATGTTTCACATGTCGACAATAACACAGCTGTGGAGACATTATGCGGTTTATGAGCCAATTCTCTTCGATGCTGAGATCACATATGATTTACATGTTTTTCATCTTCTTTGGTGCATGGTATTCTTTTTCTTCCTCTTCTTTCTTCTTCTTCTTCTTCTTCTTCTTCTTCTTTTTCTTCTTCTTCTTCTTTTTACTTCTTCTTCTTCTTGTTCTTCTTCTTGTTCTTCTTCTTGTTCTTCTTCTTCTTCTTCTTCTTCTTCTTCTTCTTCTTCTTCTTCTTCTTCTTCTTCTTCTTCTTCTTCTTCTTCTTCTTCTTCTTCTTCTTCTTCTTCTTCTTCTTTTTCTTCTTCTTCTTGTTTTTCTTCTTCTTCTTCTTCTTTTTCTTCTTCTTCTTCTTCTTCTTCTTCTTCTTCTTCTTCTTCTTCTTCTTCTTCTTCTTCTTCTTCTTCTTCTTCTTCTTCTTCTTCATCTTCTTCTTCTTCTTCTTCTTCTTCTTCTTCTTCTTCTGCTTCTTCTTCTTCTTCTTCTTTTTTCGTTTTCTTCTTCTTGTTCTTCTTGTTCTTCTTGTTCTTCTTGTTCTTCTTGTTCTTCTTCTTCTTCTTCTTCTTCTTCTTCTTCTTCTTCTTCTTCTTCTTCTTCTTCTTCTTCTTCTTCTTCTTCTTCTTCTTCTTCTTCTTCTTCTTCTTCTTCTTCTTCTTCTTCTTCTTCTTCTTCTTCTTCTTCTTCTTCTTCTTCTTCTTCTTCTTCTTCTTCTTCTTCTTTTTACTTCTTCTTCTTCTTGTTCTTGTTCTTGTTCTTGTTCTTCTTCTTCTTTTTCTTCTTCTTCTTCTTCTTCTTCTTCTTCTTCTTCTTCTTCTTCTTCTTCTTCTTCTTCTTCTTCTTCTTCTTCTTCTTCTTCTTCTTCTTCTTCTTCTTCTTCTTCTTCTTCTTCTTCTTCTTTTTTTACTTCTTCTTCTTCTTCTTCTTCTTCTTCTTCTTCTTCTTCTTCTTCTTCTTCTTCTTCTTCTTCTTCTTCTTCTTCTTCTTCTTCTTTTTCTTCTTCTTCTTCTTCTTCTTCTTCTTCTTCTTCTTCTTCTTCTTCTTCTTCTTCTTCTCCTCCTCCTCCTCTTCCTCCTCATCCTCCTCCTTCTTGCTTTCGATTTCGTATGCTCAGAGGGTTGCCTCTATGAACTCGCATGATGGCAGCAGGTCCTTCATGGTTCCCCATAGCTTACTCTGCACACTTTGCTCTTGAGGCCAATTGTCTTTTCGAAGTTGTATGTAGAGTGGGCAGGTCTGCAGAATGTGCTCAGGTGTTTGTGGTCCTGTCTGACAGGCACACTGTGTGAACTGTACGGGTCTATATTTTATGCATCTGATAGTTTAGCCTGCAGTATTCTGTTCGTAGTATTCTAAAAGTTGTTCGTAAAATATCAGTTGAAAATCTTTTGTTGTTATCTTGAATGACCTAGAAAAAGTGAAAGCAAGTACTTTCAAATACTGACCTTGAATATCGCCAACGCCATCTCCATCTGTGTCCTTAAACGAACGAGGGTAGACCTGGTAAATGATGGTCGTCTTCCACCAAGGAAGGCTCCCTGGCTGTGAATCAGCATCAGCTAGTGCCCAACTGTGTGACGCAGCAAACAGGCAAACACAAGACGCCAGTAACGAAACAATTACATTAATTATCGCCATTTCACAAAACTTTTTCGACGTAAAAAAAAATATCTTTCTGTATAAACTAAACACTTTGATTCCTTAAATATATTGACGTTAAAAATAAAGATAAACAAATATGAAAAGTATAAAGTGCAACAGATGTTTTTAGATCCTCGTAAGATAAGATTATTCGTTACAAGTTTAGCAACACTCTTCATTCTACGAGTTCGTTGATAAGGGGTTTTTATCTTTTGAAAAAAGCCACAAAAGCAATTGCTACGATTTAGGAATTTGTGTAAATATAGTCCTTGTTTTAAACTGTATATTTTCCTGTTTGTTGTTTTCCTTTATTCTGCATACACCCATAAAAATATGGGTCTACATGGTCTCGAGGCATGGTGTCCGCCTTGAGTGTTAGAGGTTCCGGGTACAATCCCCGTTTAGGGCTGGGATTGTTTTTCACCTTGATTTGAGCTTCTATTAATTCCCTCTGGTCTTTGGGTAGTGACATCGGAGGCCCGAGTGTATTGTCGCGCACGTAAAAATCCCTTGGCAGTTGGAAATCGAAAAGAGTAATTTAACGGCACTGCCCGGGCAAAATTTTGAGTTTACAAAATTTACCCAGAGTATTTCAAGATCCTCGCCGGTGCTACAGAGCCTGTGCACTGTGCTGAGCTTCTTCGGACTCAGACTTGAGTTAAAAGAACAACAGAACATTTATGCGCTACTACCCATGATGATGACCCGTTGTTCAAACCCCAAACCTCAAACACCCATGAAAGTGAAGGCGTGCTGTTTGTCGTCCCCTCGAGGATATGAAATTTTCGTTATTTTGAAGCCCCACCCTCACTGTTGGCCGGGGGCCCTAAAATAACCTGACGGTTGAACGGGGTTTCCGGGAACTCTCCGCGGGTAATTCTCATCCTAATGGTGGCACTTTGTGTCACCGGGTGTTTGTCTCTTTGTGTGATATTTTCATGGAGTTAAAAAACACCAGTCAGTTGTGATGGTCGTAGGCGCATCAGAAGGTTGTGGCATGTCGGTTTTTTTTTAACGATCTTGGCTCCCAGGTGGACGCAGCCTTAAATGCGAACCAGGTGAAAGTCATGGGAAATAAAGGTGGCAGGCGTAATGCTGACTATATCCCCCTCCAGCAAGTTATTGGTCTTTAAAATATAGGTTTAGCCCTATATGCCCAATGCGCCTGAGGCTTGGAAAAGTGTCCTGTGTTTTATTTTGTTATCTTCAGAAGGATTTGAACACAGGAGCT